CTTTACCACTTAGTGAGCTGACCTAACAAATAATGCACTGTTTTTGCATGATACCTATTCATACTGCTTGATTAATACTGCAGGTTGAAAAGCTTGCTATAAAACTGAGATAGCCAATATACTTTCCAGTCTGGCTATTGAATATGTAAAGATCACATTTGAATAATATTAAGTAGTACTTGTGGCATAAATAATGTGGTGTGACTTATTAAAAGATTGAAGATATTTGTGAATTGACAACTCCTTTGGTTTGAGATATGTTAATGTTCAGTGTAATGATGTTCATGTAACATTAACTATTGATAGTAATATAACATTAACTTATAATGGTCATGTAACATAACACTTTACTATTTATTTATCAATGTCACGTTTTTATCCCATTTTGTAATTTTTCATACCGAGGCTATAGATGTTTCAATCTATAGTACAATGTGAACATTACTATTGTAATTTTTAAATTAAAAGCTTAACACAGAATGTAAAAAGAGGTAACTTGATAGTTCAAGTAAAAATATTGACTTGACAGTTGTTCTTGTTGTTGAGTAATTAGTGTGTCTCTAATCTCTGCTGCAAGCCTATTGGTCAGTCTTTATGATATGGCACTGAGTTCTGAAATATTTTTTAAACATTCATAACTAAATTGCTTACATGTAGCCATGTTCTTACTATATTACACACATCATATAGACATACTGAATTTATGTAAATGTTGGTTACACACATCATAAAGACATACTGAATACATGTAATTGCTTACTACACACATCATATAGACATATGCTGACTATTTGTAAATGCTCACTACACATCTGTATGTAAATGTTGGTTACACACATCATATACACATAATGGCTTTATGTAAATGCTGGTTGCATACATCATTCCAGTTTTCTCTTCAATGTTTCAGCATTGTTTAGAAATCAAGTATTTCAGAATTGCAATGAAAACTCAAAACCAATCTCATCAAAAGATGAAGAGGCAATGCCAGGTTTTTAACAAAACAATTTTCTTTTTTGAATTTGAAAATTTCATTTTTTAAGTTGACTTTTGGCTTTTTTTTTTACAATTGTTTGTTTGCTGTTGATTTAAAACAATAAAACCACACCAATAGATAAAATATAATAGGATAATGAAATTTCTATAAACTGTTTTAGTAATGAAAATAATGTTTAGCATTAGGTTTTTCTAATAACACACCTGACTGAAAAAGCATTTTGAAAGCAGTTTGAGATTCTATTGTTCATTAAGTAATTGTTTTTGTCTTTTTACTTAACTGTTAAAGTGTACCACAACTGTTTAAGTTGATGACATACTCATTTTTGGAGTTTTGCCCAGCCTTTGTATAAATGAACTTTTTTTAAAAAAATATAAAAAGTAAGTGGCAGTTACAGAATATTACTGAGATTTTACAATTTTGTTAAACAATTTTGTGTTTTAAACTTTTGTTTGCAAGTTTTTTTTATTGTTAATATGTTTGCCAGACCTGATGGTAACTCTAAAAGACTTGGCACTAAAACTTGTAGCTTTGTCATTGTTACTTTGATGTGCAGCTAACAGCACTGTCTCCTTCTCTTGGTCACACTGGACATGTTGTGTTTTTTACACGGTTTATTTGTGTGTCTTAATGTAAAGGTTTTGTTTTGGATTGCTTTAATTATGCACGCTCCTCTCACTACCATTTCATTGATACATCACATCTCTCTCATAATGTGACATTTCATTGATTGATCACACCTTATCTGTCATGTGACATTTCATTGATTCTTCACATCTTAGCTTTGATGTGACATTTAGTTGATTCATCACATCTTAGCTGTCATTTGACATTTCATTGACTCATCACATCTTTCCCATCACGTGAAATTTCATCATCATCATTCCTGTCACATGACATTTCATTGATTGATCACATCTTAGCTGTCACATGACATTTCATTGATTCATCACATCTTTCAAGTCATGTGACATTTCATTGATTGATCACACCTTAGCTGTCATGTGACATTTCATTGATTGATCACACCTTAGCTGTCATGTGACATTTCATTGATTCATCACATCATTCCTGTCACATGACATTTCATTGATTCATCACATCTCTACCAACAGATGACATTTCATTGATGATTCATCACATCTTAGCTGTCATGTGACATTTCATTGATTCATCACATCTTAGCTGTCATGTGACATTTCATTGATTCATCACATCTCTACCAACAGATGACATTTCATTGATGATTCATCACATCTTAGCTGTCATGTGACATTTCATTGATTCATCACATCTTAGCTGTCATGTGACATTTCATTGATTCATCACATCTCTACCAACAGATGACATTTCATTGATGATTCATCACATCTTAGCTGTCATGTGACATTTCATTGATTCATCACATCTTAGCTGTCATGTGACATTTCATTGATTCATCACATCTCTACCAACAGATGACATTTCATTGATGATTCATCACATCTTAGCTGTCATGTGACATTTCATTGATTCATCACATCTTAGCTGTCATGTGACATTTCATTGATTCATCACATCTCTACCAACAGATGACATTTCATTGATGATTCATCACATCTTAGCTGTCATGTGACATTTCATTGATTCATCACATCTTAGCTGTCACGTGACATTTCATTGATTCATCACATCATTCCTGTCACATGACATTTCATTGATTCATCACATCTTAGCTTTCACATGACATTTCATTGATTCATCACATCTTAGCTGTCATGTGACATTTCATTGATTCATCACATCTTAGCTGTCATGTGACATTTCATTGATTCATCACATCTCTACCAACAGATGACATTTCATTGATTCATCACATCTTAGCTGTCACATGACATTTCATTGATTCATCACATCTCTCCTGTCTCTCTGGTTCTTTAAGGTTTGGCCAAGTTCAAACCAACTCCACACATGGTGTCCTCTCCGTCTGCTCCCAGTTTGCAGCTATTCCGCAGGGACAGAGCCCCTCTGCCATTTTCTAGGAATGAAACATTTAGTCACTTAAGACTAGCTGTGGAGGTCCAGCCTGGTAGAAGTGAGAGTTGGTAGCTAGCAATCCTCTGCTGAGAGCTCTGCTCATGCCATAACACTTGAAAGTTTCTTCAGGGGTTTTGGTGCTCCTTCTTTCAGGGTTGGGCTCCTGTTAGGGAATGCGCATCTTTTATTGATATCATGGCATTTAATATATGATATATCAATAACGCTTTAGCTTCTAAATATATATAAATAGATATAGAATTGATTGTGTTACAATGAGCTGATAACCTTATCTTCAGGTTATAAACGTAAAATGTCCAGTTATGCAAGTGATCAGACTCTGTACTATGATGATGTTAAATTAGCTAATCAAAAGGTGTCCCTGTTAAGTAAATATGAAAGCATGTCCTGCTCCTCAATCAAATCAGAGTGTAATGACGAGTCCAGGCTCAAATCTCTAAAGAAACGAGGGTCAACTCAAAGTGAGCTTGAGCTCTTTAGAAAAAGAGCTGAGTTGAATTCACTGAGGAATCCTAGAAATAGGAGGGACACTTTGGTGCAACCTCAGCCCTTACAAAAGAAAACCTTGCTTGAAGCTGGTGCGTCTAACACTGCGAGCGGCTCAAAGAGTGAAGATAAGAAAACCTGTGGGCCAGCCAGCAGCATCCCACACTGGCATGAAACATTGAAAAAACAGTCGGTCATTTTATCAGCGGCCAGGCAGTTGAAAACACAGCAGTCTCTAGAAGCTGTCATCTCCCCTGAGGTTCAGGTGACCACACCCAGTGGCAGTAACATCTTCACCCTGGTCAAGCCCAGAATTTTGCCAGCGTCTAGCGACGTCACCACTGATAGGTTGAGCCACTTGTCACCAACCTGTTCGCGTGATAACTCGCATTCCTCACAGGAATCCATATCTGTGTACATCAAGGCCGCCCAGAGCTCCGAGCTTGGTGCAACACCTGCTGGTGGGGATGAGAAAACACCTGCCATGTCCTCTAGCCCTACTTGTGGGACCACAAAGAAAGTTGACATGTCATTCCCTAAACAAAAATCAATCTGGAGGACACTCAGACATTCACTATCCAAGTCTGACAGAGCTCCCAAGGATTCACTTGACAGTACTCAGAAGAAACCTAAATTAGAAAATGTCGTGTCGGAGCTAAATAAAACTCAAGCTAATGCAGGGTCTGGTAAAAACTCAGCTAGTTTGTCTAATGTAAACAGCCTAACAGGTCCTGTTCAAAAGCTTAGAAGATCTGTCTTGTATGCTAGTCTTCCCAAAAACTGGATGCGAAACAAAGGTATATGCAGTACTATGCCAGAACCTTGTGTAGAAAATATTCGCTTCAAGTACACACATGTAAGCAAGTTGCTTTAGCAGACCAGACCTGACACCAGAGCATATCCAGTGTTGTAGCTTATAACTGCTTGATTGCTTCTTCCAAATTTGTCTTAGTCCTGTACCTTACACCACATGATCATTGCCAGTTTGTACAACTACTTTCATGTGCTTTGCACTTACTAATGCTTTTTCTTTACACACCATACTAATTACAGCATACTGAGCATACTAATTTTATTTAGATAACTGACTTGATTTAAATTCTAATTAGTAATTGTGATTAGGTTAAAAAAATGTTTTTTACTCTTCTCTCCTTAGAAAACTAAAAACTTTTTAATTGTCTAGAAATAGCTCAAGTTTTTCTAAGATACAAAAAAAAAATAACCTTCAGGCTAAGCTGAGTTAAGTTAGTATAACAAAATAGAAATCAGCCAAAACCCCTTCCTCTATCCCTTTACTTGTATGATATTGTGTGTTATCTAGTCAACCTTTTTTTTCAGTATCACCAAATTAATATTTAATTACCGTCCATTTTGATGACTATTTTTGTAACCATGTAGAGTTGTGTTTATTTTGTCGTCTGCACTGTTTCAGCTGCACCACAGTTCCATCATTTTTTGGGTCCATAAATTCCAATTTCAGACCCAAGCAGCCACCGTAAGCTTCCAGTGGTAACAAAGAAAGCAGACGTGGTGCTTGCAGTAAAAAAGAATAAGGTTTCAGAAACTGTCAAACTTTTCCAGCAGCGCCGTGACTCGTACACCCATGCTGTGGAAAACCAGAGAGCTACGGTAGCCGCGCCTAAAGGTAACCCAGATAAGAGAGCGGCTGTATCAGCTCGCCATGGAGGCGCCACAGACATGCATGACCACACAGTAGCTAGCTCTCTAGAACAAACCAAGCACCTTACTCACCAGTCTCCTGTCTCTACTAAAGCATGTAGCTATGAAGATTTAACAAACACATCTTTACCCAGCTTTAAAACTACCCCTGGAGGAGCAAGTAATGTTCCCCAAGTTCTACCAGAAAAATTCAGATTTAAAAGAAAATTGAGTGAGGACCAGAGAAAGTTGTCCAGCAGTTCTAGTGATGTATTGTCCAGCTTTGATCAGCCAACCAGTTCAGTGGCAGCCGAGGATGGCGCCCCCACTCCATCAAGGCCTGACAGAAAGTCAGACGGACTAGGTAAGCCAACATATGCTTTGACTAACACAAGCAGCCCAGTAGCTGATGAGGACAAACAGAGAAAGCAACTCCCCAGCACTGGTGACAGTTTTGAAAAATTGTATGACCAAAATGTCAACAGACTGGTTGAGCTGATGAGCACATCTGGAGACCACTCTGGTAAAAAGTCAAAGAGAGAGCTGCCCCAGACTCCCCCTAATGGTAAGAGCAAAGAGTTTTTGCTGCAGAAATCCTTGTCCCTGTCTGATGAAGTGGCAGCTAGTCTAGTCTACGTCAGTTTTGATACTGATGACTATCACTGTGCTACGTTGGATCACAAAAATAATAAAATGGTATCACCACATACAAGAAATCAAGGCAAAAAGGCACCACAGGGCTCAGCAGACAGAAAAGATCATACTCCTTCTCACAAACAGCCACAAGAAGAACAGCTTGTTCTGATTACCACTCAGGTAGCTAAGAATGAAACAGTTGCTAAAAAAGATAAAGCTCCTGTAGTTCAGGATAAAAATGTCAATACTAAATTGGAAGACACAACCATTAAAGTAGATAGTAAATTAGTAGCATTGAAGCCGGAGCAACCTTCAGCTGTAGAGAGTCTAGTTGAGAACCTGGCCAAACGGAAGTGGTTGGATCAGTCAGATAAAGCTAGTGCCAACCTGTGTCGGAGCTCTTCAAATGTTTCAGACACATTCAGTAGTGTCACAGAGATTTCTGAGCAGTGGGGGGAGGCTGACTCACTGCCTTATGACAGTGACAGCACGATGCATGAGAAGGTTTTTGATGACAGCTTTGTGGTTGATGAAGAGGACTGTGTCAAAAAGCCTGGGGTAGATGTTTACAAAAGTGAATTTAAAAAAAATAATGGCCATGGTTGTGGAGTTGAGCTTGATGCTTCAGAGCACGAGTCTTATCAGAGCAGTGCTGAAAGTTCAGCTGATTCTACACAAAACACCACACAACTTTTTTTAGCTCACCATGCACCGGAGTCTGGGAATCCAGAAGGATATGCCAGTGACAAGGACAGTTCAGTCGACAGTCAGTTGTCTGCCTTGGAATCTGACCAAGGTTTTCTAAATTTAGATTTGTTAAATGCCTCAAAAGAAATAACAGAGTCTGGAAGTGAAAATACAGTTTCTGGCCAGGTGAAAGAAAAAAAAGTCAAGCCAAATAAGAATGAGAGCAAACTTAAACTTAATGTCCACTTGTTTGGCAAGAGGAAATTGGAAAGAAAAAAGAAAGAAACTGAGAACACTGAGAAAAACGAAAACCTGAGGAGGAAAGAGAAAAATGTGTTGGGAGGGAATTATCTTCCCTCTGATCACACAGCGTCACATAGAAACACAGATGATAACTCAGAAAGTTATAAGACAGAGGCCAAGGTCACTTTACTGTCTCTAGCTCTGAGAAGAAAACTTGAAGAGGAACAGAATTTACATGACCTGGAGCTGAGCTCAAACTTACCTGAAGCCACACTTGACCTGGATAGCTGCACATCATCACATTCCTCAGTTTGTGACGACAGTGCTATGAGAAGTGACAGTGATGGTAGGATAGCCCATCTCTGACAGATCCTCTAACCCGACTGTCTCTGTATTTCATCTGCATGCATGTGCAGGCAGCTGGTGTAATAACCCCAAAGCATGGCTTGGCAGCTTTTATTTAGTGAATATTTCAGCATTCTGTTAACTTGCTATTCTTCTTGGACATTTTCCATATGCCAATGGTAAATTTGATGTTTTTATTAAAAGAATATTCCAATTTAAGTATTGTTATCGATAGTTTAAGATTATTTCTTTAAAGAGATGACATGAATTGTTTATCACATAATGAATTTAGTATTTTGACTTCAGTGCATGGCCTTAGCATGGCTTAAGCCAATCAAATTTTAAAATTTAAAAAAAAATTGATTTAAAAAAATGTTATTGTAAATAACTGTTGTGAACAAATAGCTCATACATGTTTTATTGATAAAACAGTTGAACAGTTTTATGTTTGCTCTTGTACCTAGCATGAATCTGGATTTTTACATACAAATATGACACTGTTTTCTAATTATCTATTATGATTAGTGTTTTTATGGAAACACTGCATGCACTGTGTCTATTATTATGTTTGATGTTTCTACAGAAGCATCAACTCTGTGGTTTCTCTGACAATGTACTGTTTGGCTTTTCTGTTGTTTTTTTATCCTATTTTCTCTGTGGTACATGTGGTTTTTTTTCTTTTTCTATTCTTGCTGCATGCTTTTTAAATCAGTGGCTCACCCCCACCCCTTGAATCCAGCTTTTTAAGTATATTTTATTATAACAATATGATAACACTATATGGATAACACTTTGACTTCTCAGGTATTAAATAACCAGTTTTAAATAGGATACATTGTGTATGCCTTTTTGTGTTTATTTTGCACTATATAAATTTTATTGATATGGCACACCATTATTAATATCATTCCTTATTGGTACAAATATTTTACAAAAACCCTTAATTTTCAGTTTTAAATACTGACATTTAAAACTTGTTAACATTTATTGTGCTGGTTTTCTTCAACTACTCTTTGTTTAACTTGAAAATTTGAACAATACTATTAAATGTTATTTTCATTTTTTTCTTCTTTGATTCTCAAGCATCAGATTAAAATTATATATATATTGATCTCAATATTGCATCTTAATAAAGTTTTTCCCTAAATGTAAAAAAGGTTGTTTTTTTTATAACAGAATAGTTTGAAAAAAAAAAAGAAAAAACATTGCTTTCTTGATGGCTGCAGTTTTTAAAACTTCTTTTTGCACTTGCACCTTTATTATTACTATTTACCATGCTAGGCCAATAATTTCATTAAAGAAGACTAAACATAAAATTTTTCATAAAAATACTTTTAGAAACTACTTCTTAATTATTTTTAAAATTAAAAAAAAAATTAATTATTGTAACCAAATAAATAGTTAAACTTTGAAACCACTTAAATCAAAATTAAAATTTTAATCCTATTAAAAGATTTGTATATAGGCCTATCTGTATTAAATTATGTTTATAACCCATTCTTCTTCCACCATTCATAGAGTTGGTTAGAGACAGTGACAGCAGTGTCACCAGCAATAACACCAGCAAGTCCAACACACCAGACCCTCGACTGCTACAGCAGCAGCGAAATCATGCTGACCAACAGCGTAGTCGCACCGAGCAGCAGAAGACTGCACCGGAGCAGCCCAAAGTCAAACCTGAGCAGCAGAAGACAGTGCAGGAGCAGCCTAAGGCCAGGTCTGAGCAGCAGAAAGCAGGGCAGGAGTCACAGAAGAGCACAGAACAGCAAAAAGTGAGGCTAAAAAGTCTGGCAGAACAACAGCTACAGGTGCCAGCTATAGCAGTCACACAGTCTGGGGATGAGGTGGGTAACAGGCTATAGCAGTCACACAGTCTATAGCAGTCACATAGTCTGGGGATGAGGTGGGTAACAGGCTATAGCAGTCACATAGTCTGGGGATGAGGTGGGTAACAGGCTATAGCAGTCACATAGTCTGGGGATGAGGTGGGTAACAGGCTATAGCAGTCACATAGTCTGGGGATGAGGTGGGTAACAGGCTATAGCAGTCACACAGTCTGGGGATGAGGTGGGTAACAGGCGCTAGCAGTCACACAGTCTATAGCAGTCACACAGTCTATAGCAGTCACACAGTCTATAGCAGTCACACAGTCTATAGCAGTCACAGTCTATAGCAGTCACACAGTCTGGGGATGAGGTGGGTAACAGACTCTAGCAGTCACACAGTCTGGGGATGAGGTGGGTAACAGGCTATAGCAGTCACACAGTCTGGGGATGAGGTGGGTAACAGACTCTAGCAGTCACACAGTCTGGGGATGAGGTGGGTAACAGGCTATAGCAGTCACAGTCTATAGCAGTCACACAGTCTGGGGATGAGGTGGGTAACAGGCTCTAGCAGTCACACAGTCTGGGGATGAGGTGGGTAACAGGCTATAGCAGTCACACAGTCTGGGGATGAGGTGGGTAACAGGCGCTAGCACTCACACAGTCTATAGCAGTCACATAGTCTGGGGATGAGGTGGGTAACAGGCTATAGCAGTCACACAGTCTGGGGATGAGGTGGGTAACAGGCTATAGCAGTCACACAGTCTGGGGATGAGGTGGGTAACAGGCTCTAGCAGTCACACAGTCTGGGGATGAGGTGGGTAACAGGCTATAGCAGTCACACAGTCTGGGGATGAGGTGGGTAACAGGCTATATGGCTGGTAAGTAGGTCACCAACCAGTTCTACGGCTCAATAAAACCTGCATGAGCCATAGAACTGGTTGGTGACCTACTTACCAGCCCTATAGCAGTCACACAGTCTGGGGATGAGGTGGGTAACAGGCTATAGCAGTTTTGTCACCACTTTCTTTTGTTTTTTATTTAGATGCAGTAATTTTTGTGGTTCAATACCATATGGCCAAAAAAATTTCTGGCCTATATGCTTAAAATCTAGAAGTAGTTGATTTTCTTTTTTTTTCCATGTCAAAAATGTTTTAAATGCAGTTGACTGTCTTGTTTTTAAATTGTGTCAACAAAAATCTCCATCAGAAGACACCAGTGTTTCAAAGAAAAAAAGTCTTCCCAAGACAAATTTATTGCAGTGGGCAGAACAAGGCAAAACCTTGTTCATTTTAAGCATGTTCCTGCTTTAGCATGATTGTAATATGTTGGGGTATTTAGTATGATATTTGTTGTTGTAAGTCTAGAATAGACAGTTTCAGTGTGCTCTTGGCTTTTAAAATTGTAGTAGAACAGTATTAAACTATGGCTTCCGCTGTAATCATATTAAAAAAGTCCTCCTTAGTGCTGTTGTTTTAGCTCAGTTTTAACTCATGCCATTCAACTGATGCTGCTGTGTAGTAAGAAACTTTTCTTACATCACTGTCCAGGGACTCATGTGTTGCTGTGTCTGTGCATTATTTGTCCATGTTTTTCTTAGCAGAGGGAGGAAGATGATGATTTGGATGAGTTATTTGGCAACCATCGTCCACAATTGTTAGGCAGTCGTAGCAGTTTGGCTGTAAGTGTGACTAACTGGAAATGGGCTTGCCACTACTAGCATGGGTTAATGCTTACAAACTGAAATGTATTTCTGTATCTGTTGATTTATTGTCTGTTTTAAGTTGCTGACCATTATGTTGTCTAACCACTTATTCCTTTCATTTGGTGTAACTTCACTATACCCTCACAGTCTTATGATTTGCTTAGGAAAATGTTTCAGGCATTTACAAGCACTTTAAATTTACTCTATATGTTTGGATATGTTTAAAATACCTTATGTTGTAAACATTTATTATTTATATTTGTTTGCTATTTTTCCCTCTTTATTTAAATTACCAATCTCAACAGCAAACCTATTTCTTTTTTTTTTAAATGTAGGCCTATTTTGTTTTTAATAAACTAAAGCATGCTATACATTCAAATTTATTAAAATTTTGCTATGCCATTATATTTAGCATGCATTATTCAATTTAAATCCATCAATTAAATCTAAAAAGAATTTATGCTTGCAATATATATTTAAAAACTGTTTCTTATTCACAAATATCACATACTATGTGCATTTTTTAACCCTTTATTTACGGAATTAGGTTCTGAATGAATTTTTTTCTTAAACAATGTGTTATCATATTGCTTTTGGCACATTTAAAGCATATGTCAAAGGAAATTTCGTTTAAATAATTTTTAATGGCCCAAACAGATATTGGTACTTATGAGTACCGACAGGAATGTAGGACATTTTTTCCAAAAAATTTTTTTTTTACAAAACAGGAACAAACGATACAATTTATTAACTAATAGTATGGCAATCGTTATAACAGTCATTTTTTTGTAATTTTCACATATAAATACAGCACACAAGTATATTTTGAGTACGATTTTTATTGGATTTTCTATCGGAACACATCTTAGACCTCAAACACAGCAAAAGTTGCCAGCATGTCATGCTCCCTCATTCTTGTCTGTGGTCATTCTGGTGTAACAACGGTTGCCGGACTGAACATGCTTTTGCTGGAAGCTTCCAATAGCTATTACTTACAATGAGCCGCATAAACAAACAAAAGCTTAGTCATTCAGTACACAACCACTTGTAATACTAGTATAATTGTAGCCTACTAGAATGTTATGACAAGTCTACAGTGTAAAGTTCATAAATAGAAGTGAGCTCAATGTGTTTAGGATAGTCAAAGTAGCCTACTGTTTCCTGTTTACTGATTAAAATTTACCATATTATTATAGATCTCTACTATATTCAGAAGTATGGACTATTACTAGTCAATAGGTATACATAACGTAAATACTAGTTTTGTAGGCAAGAAAGTTTATTCCAGTAAATATAAATAACAAATTAAATCTTACTACTAGAACTAGGCTTTGGTATACAAATGAAGTATACTAAACCTAGTAAACAAGCCTGCAGCTGCTACCTTTATTCTTGTTATTCTTTTACTACTTGAAATCAACATGTAATTATAATATTTCTTAGGTAAACCATATGCTAACCTTCTTATAAATGTGTAAATATCATTTTTTTAGTACATTTTGATAATTAATTATCAAAATAATATTTATGTCACTCCACATCAAAAATCTGTTATTTCCTAAAAATCCTAAAAAATGACCCTGTGCCCTGACGGTACTTATAAGTCCACTTGTAAACATCGATCTAATACAAAGACAATTTGACTAAAATTGTATAACTAGAAGTTAAACGCGTTAGCCTGACTATTGGAGATGCCAATAAAAAATATTTGGGGATGAAAACTTGAAAAATAAGGTAAAACAAAGGGAAATCAGGAACGTGTGTGAGAACTGTAAAGAACAACTGTAAACTACCAATATAGTTAGACATTGAAATTGGCGCCACACCAAAAATTTTCAAAATACATCGATCCCCCAACCACCGGTGACTCAGGGGAGATAATACTATTAATTACATCAATAATTTTTAAAATTCGTATTAAATTAAAAATAATACAGGCACTTAATTAAAGTGGTACTTATAAGTACCGTCAGTAGATAAAGGGTTAAAATTGTATATTTCACACACCACAAATCATTTACTAATTGTATAAATTGTAAGTTTAATACTTTTAACAAAATTTCTGATCACTAAAGAACTCATAACAAAAAAAATTTCCATTTCTATAATTTGTTTGATCACAAAGTATAATTAATTTTTATTTTGGATTATAATTTTGTCCATCACATATTGATTTTTATAACCATGTTGCCAATGACTGTCCCACTATGTCACCAAATGACCACATTAATTTTATTGTACCTACAAGTTAATGATAAGCAGCTTGTGCCAACTAATCCACTAACCACGCTTTCATGAAAACACATTTAACAAAACAGTGCATTAAAATTTTCTATTAATGTCATTTATCAGAATTCAGAAGAAAATTAAAACAGTAATTTGCATTTCAATATTCATAATGTAATTTGAAAATAAGAATTTTAGAAGCTTAAGAACAGGTTGGGTTTTTTTTTTTTTTTTATTTGAGCATTTTCAAACATTTCAAAAAAGTATATTAAAATTTGCCTTGTAAAAACATTGTGTAGATGTTGAACCAGTTCTGTGTTCACACAACTCAAGCCACTATTTATTACCTGTACACAGGACAGCCGTGAGAGCATATACAGCGTGTACAGTGATGCAGGGGAGGTGAACTATGGGAAGATACCTGTCACTGGTGATATTTTCTTTAACCTCAACTACAATGTTAAATCAAGTGCTTTGGAGATCCACATCAAACAATGTAGAAACTTGGCACCCGTTGATACTAAACATGGCCGATCAGACCCGTGAGTTGAAAGATTTATTTTGTTGCTATTTTCACTTTACATCACTATTTTCTCACATTATAAAACATATTCATCTAATGTTTGGTTTATCCAGGTACATAAAAACATACCTTCTTCCTGATAAAACTCGAAGCAGCAAACGGAAAACCAAAATAAAAAAACACACATTGAATCCAACTTTTGATGAGGTTTTGAAGGTGAGTATCTTTGTTAACAGAAATTAAATTAGAATTATGAAAAGTAAATTTCATCAATCATGTTGACCAAAACCTTTTTTTTTTTTTGCCTCTAAATTTTTTTTTCTTGTTCTGTGACATGAAAGCGTTTTAATGCCTCATGTGTCTTAGTGGTGTAAAGCAAAATACACATTTTCTTAATTTCTTATAATTTATAAATTGAACACCATCAGAAAAATTTAGCTTAAGTTACTAATTGATGATGAGAAAAGTACAAATTTGTTTAACTTTTCTTTTCTTCAGATTTTGTTTAGTTAGAGAAAATATTAATTACAAAAAATGTCTAATCTGTAAAAAAAAAAAGACTAAAAAAAAACAACCTAAACAAGATTGTTTTACATTTTATACAAGTTACAATAAAATCTACAGAATTAATTTATTAATTTTCCAAGACCTCTTCTTGTATATTTTACAGTATTCAATAACCCCAGCGGAGCTAGAATCTCGTACTTTATGGGTCACAGTGTGGCACAATGATAGGTTTGGTCGCAATGATTTTCTAGGAGAGGTCACCATACCTTTAGATTATTACAGATTTGATGAGAATGCACCACGATGGTATCCTCTACAGGAACGGGTAAGTCAGTATTATTTATATTTTGTTACATAAACTCAGTGGGTTTTTTCCACATAATTTCAGGTGTTATTAAAATACAAATGTAGGCCTGTGTACTTGTTCACAAGCCAATCTTTTTAAAAATGTATTAAAGGGTCACCAAAACTTTGTCAAACTTCCGCTGCTGCTGTGAATAATGAATTTGTAGTCACTATGGTAATCTGATGACTGTAAAATGAACACTGGAATTTTTAGTTTTACATTCCCAAAACTAGGGGAGTCAGCTTGATGATTGATCATCTTCAATAAACAAATATTGTATATTGAGTGATATATTATTGAATATTTTATTGTTATCTATTGATTAATATCTTATGTTTAGAAAGTGTGCTTTATAATTGTTGAATCTTATACATTTAAAAAGTAAAGAAAACCTAAGTGAGTTTCACTGACTTTGTTTCAGTCAATGAGTCAAGAATCTGAGTCGCCCGTGCTGGCCTATAAAGGTGATCTCTTCATTTCACTCAAGTACATCCCAGCTGACATGGTAGACAACGCCCCAAAGAAGAAGTCTGGCTCATTTCGCAAGAAGAGCAAGGAGAAAGAGAAGCCAAAGGCTGGTTTGGGGGAGGTACATGTCCTGGTGAGGGAAGCTCAGAATCTCACAGCTATGAGGGCAAATGCAGGATCCAATCCTTTTTGTAAAGGGTAGGTCAATTATCTCCCCATAATTAGTAAATGTATGTTCACAAAGTAAAATGTATTAATCTTTTCATAATATTGTACTGAATGTGAAAGCAGTAAAGGTGGATTGTTATTTGTTTGGTCATACAATCCACTTGTATGTGGTGTCTGGACGTAAAGACCATGACATAAAGGCCCTTTTCAAGGTTAAAATAGGGGAAATAACTTTGACAAAACTGCAATAATTTATTTAGCTTGTTTAATCTTTTATTGAAACACTAAAATTAAAATATTATTTTTTTTAATGTTATAATATTAGATAACAAAAGCTACATTATTTACCATCCATATTCAAATGTATCTAAAACTGCTGGCAAATTGGTATTTGTTTTAACACAACAATTGATCAAAGAAAAAACCAGCAGCACCTAAGATATATGGCAACAGAGGCCTCTGTAGGTCCTGAGTTGGGAGAGCGGGGAAGGTTAAAGGTTAGATTTTTAAAAAAACATGGTGGATACAACAATTCTGTCAGATAACAAGGTTAATGGAGACAACGGTGCATGGTGAAACCACAGTGAAGAAAACAGTCCTGTATGAGATTTAGCATCTAGAAATGATTAAAAAACTGTTGACTAAACTATTTATTGGTATTAAATTAAACACAATATGTTTGAGTTAAAATTTATATTTTATAAAAATGTTTGTTAATAATAAAATGTTTAAAAGGGTTTTTTTTAAATAGAAAGTGATTGTTAGGTTATGTCTATTATGAATCTGAGTAATGTAACAGTAATAATAAAAATTATATAATAAAATGATTGTATTACCCTCCCAGATACCTGCTGCCTGACGTGTCACGCTCCAGCAAACAGAAGACACCTGTGATCAAGAAGACGACCAACCCACAGTGGAATCACATTCTGGTGTTTGAAGGGGTCGACCAGTCACAGCTTCAGCAGCATGGGCTGGAGTTGACTGTGTGGGACCATGAGAAGTTGTCCAGTAATGATTTCTTGGGGGGAGTCAGGCTCAACTTGGGGCAAGGTAGATGGTTTTTTTCTTTTATTATTAGACGTTTTTAAAAAGTTTTAAGAAATAGTCATTTTTCATGACATTAAATAAGTTAAGTAGGGCCTGCCATTGCAGTCTTGATGGCCCATGTGGCTGATTAAATAGAGTTCCTCTGTTTATTTGAACTCTATAAAAAAAGACATTGTGTGCTCCAGGCTAGGCTGGAGCTGGTGACTTGCAATGGCAGACTCCCCCAGCTCCTATCAGATTTGGTTAAGGATTGTAATCTAATAAAGCTGGTTGGTTCTAGACAAACACTGTCAAATTTGGTTATTTTCATGCCTTGGGAGTATATTTTAGTAAAGGGCTAATTTTATACATCAGTAGTGTCATGTGTTAAACATTGAAAGCTATGTTTTGTATTACGTAAAATTGACAGCAGTGTCTTGTATAGACTAAAGTAACTTGTGTTTAACATTGACAGCAGTATTGTCTTGTGTTTAACATTGACAGCAGTAGTGTCTTGTGTTTAACATTGACAGCAGTAGTGTCTTGTGTTTAACATTGACAGCAGTAGTATCTTGAGTTTAACATTGACAGCAGTAGTGTCTTGAGTTTAACATTGACAGCAGTAGTGTCTTGTGTTTAACATTGACAGCAGTAGTGTCTTGTGTTTAACATTGACAGCAGTAGTGTCTTGAGTTTAACATTGACAGCAGTAGTGTCTTGAGTTTAACATTGACAGCAGTAGTGTCTTGTGTTTAACATTGACAGCAGTAGTGTCTTGTGTTTAACATTGACAGCAGTAGTGTCTTGTGTTTAACATTGACAGCAGTAGTGTCTTGAGTTTAACATTGACAGCAGTAGTGTCTTGTGTTTGACATTGACAGCAGTAGTGTTGTGTTTAACATTGACAGCAGTAGTGTCTTGTGTTTAACATTGACAGCAGTAGTGTCTTGTGTTTAACATTGACAGCAGTAGTGTCTTGTGTTTAACATTGACAGCAGTAGTGTCTTGTGTTTAACATTGACAGCAGTAGTGTCTTGAGTTTAACATTGACAGCAGTAGTGTCTTGTGTTTAACATTGACAGCAGTAGTGTCTTGTGTTTAACATTGACAGCAGTAGTGTCTTGTGTTTAACATTGACAGCAGTAGGTCTTGTGTTTAACATTGACAGCAGTAGTGTCTTGAGTTTAATATTGACAGCAGTAGTGTCTTGAGTTTAACATTGACAGCAGTAGTGTCTTGTGTTTAACATTGACAGCTGTAGTGTCTTGTGTTTAACATTGACAGCAGTAGTGTTGTGTTTAACATTGACAGCAGTAGTGTCTTGTGTTTAGTATTGACAGCAGTAGTGTCTTGTGTTTAACATTGACAGCAGTAGTGTCTTGTGTTTAACATTGACAGCAGTAGTGTCTTGTGTTTAACATTGACAGCAGTAGTGTCTTGAGTTTAACATTGACAGCAGTAGTGTCTTGTGTTTGACATTGACAGCAGTAGTGTTGTGTTTAACATTGACAGCAGTAGTGTCTTGTGTTTAACATTGACAGCAGTAGTGTCTTGTGTTTAACATTGACAGCAGTAGTGTCTTGTGTTTAACATTGACAGCAGTAGTGTCTTGTGTTTAACATTGACAGCAGTAGTGTCTTGAGTTTAACATTGACAGCAGTAGTGTCTTGTGTTTAACATTGACAGCAGTAGTGTCTTGTGTTTAACATTGACAGCAGTAGTGTCTTGTGTTTAACATTGACAGCAGTAGGTCTTGTGTTTAACATTGACAGCAGTAGTGTCTTGAGTTTAATATTGACAGCAGTAGTGTCTTGAGTTTAACATTGACAGCAGTAGTGTCTTGTGTTTAACATTGACAGCTGTAGTGTCTTGTGTTTAACATTGACAGCAGTAGGTCTTGTGTTTAACATTGACAGCAGTAGTGTCTTGTGTTTAGTATTGACAGCAGTAGTGTCTTGTGTTTAACATTGACAGCAGTCGTGTCTTGTGTTTAGTATTGACAGCAGTAGTGTCTTGTGTTTAACCTAGACTTGGGTTCTCCCTGCCAGGAACTCACCAGGGTAAACCTGTGGACTGGATGGATGCTAAAGGTGAAGAGATTGAAGCCTGGCAGAGTATGTTGGAGCGCCCCAATGAGTGGATTGATGCACAGCTGCCACTTCGCGCCAGCATGGGAAAACAGAATGTGAAGAAATAGTCAGGATATGGGGCCTCTACTGCTGGTTGGCTGGGAGGAGAGGACTCTTCACCCAGTGATCCTAATAACATTGATATTGTCAATTTAAATGCAAACATAAGGTTTCAGGATGTGCTCGTCAAGAGCAGCTTATCCAGGCCACGCTATACGTTTTCCCTTTTGAGTCCTCAGGTCAAGCCAAAACACTCTGAGTCCATTAACAAATCATCAACTTGGAGACAGGCTTTGGTCAATGAGCAACAGCTGGATGGGTCACCTAAAAATCAGTTCCTCAGTACCACTTTGCCGTTGATGAATTCATCATCAAATTTTAATGGCGCAGACAATGACAGCACAGGCAAACTATCCCGTGTCTTGTTCTCAAGACATTTATCAACTGGTTTACAGCATCAGCCATCCTTAAACCCATACACTGTAGAGACATTGCATCAGCAGTCCTTAGACCCTCATATCTTACGAACATCTCATCAGGGCTTGCTAGACCCTGTTAACCCACAAACATTTTCTAGGTTCCACAGAAACAAACTATTACGATCTTCATCAGAACACAGTCAATATTCTAACTCCACTGATAAGTTTAGGAACCATACAAGTATGTTCAACTTATCACCTAGATTGCCCAAAAGAATATCTGTTAAGGTGCCAGGTCCTCATCTCTGTGGTAACTTTACTGACAGCAACAATGCAGACGCCAGCAAACCTCAGGGTGCTTTCTCCAGTCCTGTCTCTGTTGAGAAAACCATCACAGCCTCCCCCAGCCAGGCTGCTTCTCCTAAGTCCACAGATCACCTCTTGATCTACTTCACCCCTCAAAAGTTTAGCCCTATAAAAAAGAATGTATCCCCTGTACAACCCATGTTAACCAGTCCTGTTTTACCCTCCCCTATTCAGCCTATTACTCTCAGTAATGGGGCAGCACCAGGGGCACTCAGTCAAGGGGCAGCACCAGGGGCACTCAGTCAAGGGGCAGCACCAGGGGCACTCAGTCAAGGGGCAGCAACAGGGGCACTCAGTCAAGGGGCAGCACCAGGGGCACTCAGTCAAGGGGCAGCACCAGGGGCACTCAGTCAAGGGGCAGCATCACCAGCGCAGACATTTACATCCCTCCATGAAACACCCCCAGTGGCCCGGGTTGGTCAGTTCAGCCATGTACAACCATTGGCCAAACCTTCCGCAGACAGCCCTGAATTGCGCTACAATGTCCACACAATGCCACCCAGAGCTAAAACATGCAGTAATATGAAGGCTACCAGCTCTCAATTTTCAGCCAGTACTCATGAAAAAGCACATTGTACTAGAATATGCCAGGTTAAGAATACAATGAAAACATTTGAATTTCTAAGCCAATGTGAAGCCCTTTCAAAACAGGAGTCATTGTTTGATGCAGAGTCTGGTAAGATGCTTCCAACTGTAAACAAATTGCCAAGCCTTTTGCCTGATGTAACTGATAAACATACATCAAGTACTATAAAAAACTCATTAAAAGTACCAGTATTAAAAAATATAACAGTGGACAAAATAGCTAGTCACTTTGCCAGTGTAGCTGTTAAGCAGGTTCCAAGCCCTATTAAGAGCTCTGTAAAAGAAGCGGTGCCTATATTTAAAGGTGGGAATGTGGACAAAATAGCTAGTCACTTTGCAAATGTAGTTGTGGAACGTATGCCAAGCCCTATAAAAAGCACAGTAAAAGATACTATACCAGTATTAAAAGATGGAAATGTAGACAAAATAGCTAGTCACTTTGCCAATGTAGTTGTGGAAAGGATGCCAAGCCCTATAAAAAGCACAGTAAAAGATACTATACCAGTATTAAAAGATGGAAATGTAGACAAAATAGCTAGTCACTTTGCCAATGTAGTTGTGGAACGGATGCCAAGCCCTTTAAAAAGCACTGTAAAAGAAGCTGTGCCTATGTTTAAATGTAATAACATTGACAAATTTGCCAGCAATCTTTCTAGAGTAATCGGCAAAAAGGTTTCATCACCTTCAAAAACCTCTCTTGTTGACTTATCTGATTTTAAGAAGAATAGAACTGTGGACAAAATTGCTAATCACTTTGCTAACGTAGATGATAAACATGTGCCAAGCCCAATAAAAAACCCAGAAAATTTTGTGTTGATATTCAAAAATAAATCAGTGGATAAAATTACTAAACACCCTGCTAATGTTGAGCAGAAGCAAAGCTCTATCAGAAGCAAACTGAAAGATGACGTACCAGTATTGAAAGGTAGAAATGTGGACCTAATTGCTAGTCATTTAGCTAAGGTAGTTTTTGAACGGATGCCAAGTCCTCCAAAAAGCATAGTAAAGAGTGCTGTACCAGTATCCAATAATGTAAATGTGGATAAAGTTAGTAGTCACTTAGCTAATGTTGGTGGTGAACAGAAGCCAAGAAACCCTGCTAAAGATGGAGTACCTGTATTTAAAAATAGAAATGTGGACAAAATTGCTAAACATTTTGCTAATATTGTTTTGGAAAAGGTGCCCAGCCCCATAAAAAGTACTATAAAAGATGGGCATATGGACAAAACAAGTCATTATTCTAGAGTAATCTTTGAACCCACACGAAGTCCAATAAAAAACAAGATAAAAGAAGATAAAAACGTGGACAACGATGCTAGTCATCTTGCTCGGGTAGTTAGTGAACAGACACCTAGGCTTGAACAACATGATTTTATAAAGACAGAATTTAAAAGTTTTACAATGCACAGAGCACTTGAAGATAATCTAGAAGAAGATAGTAATTCAGTTTTAAGAAAGCAGGTTTTTAAAAGTTTTCCATATCCAAGTGTTCTTAATTCAGTTGAGTCCATAACTAACCACCTACAACACTTGGAGCCTAAATTAGACAAGAGAGAATCATTTCTGAAAGCAAGTAGAATACTGGAAGCCCACCTTGGCAAGATCATCAACCAGGTTGTAGAGAAGAAGGTTGTCAACTCTTCCTTTAAGTGTCAGATAAATCAACTGGTCAGTCAGGAAATCAAACTCCAGACAAAGAACTCCTTCTTAAAACTAGATCAGCATTTTGAGTCCCAGAAGTTCAGCATGCCAGGGAGTTCTTCACAAGAACCAAGTGTAGATTCACTGCCCCAAGAACCCTGTATAGAGATGTTGCACAAAACATCAGACCATTTGAATGCCAATACTGAGTCAGTGTCACAAAAAACACATGTCCATGGCTATGTAAAAATGAGCACAACTATCAAATCACTGTCCCAAAAAATCAACTGGCCTAGTCATTTGAAAATGAGTTCAAAATTTGAGCACAAGGCACACCAACTAGACACACCAGCCAGTTCTGATAAAAATCAGGATGATCAAGTGGATGACAAGCAGAGCAGGCAAGGTGAGATGAACTTAAATCAGGTAGATCAGCGGGAAGGAAATTCTAAAAATGCCTCTCCGTTCCCTGGATTGCACAATCAACAAAATTTAGTCAATAAAGTTGAAGATGACAAGCATGACCTCGGTAAGGGCAGTGCTCAACCACTGTACAAAAACTCACACAGCTCAGTACACTCAGACAAGGAAGATGCCTCTGTGCACCAACATGACTTGTCTGAAGTGGAAGAATATTTTGCAGCAGTATCTCATAGTGCTGACTTGCCTGACACTTGTGCTCCGAATAATTCTCAGAAACCTGATATGCCAAAAATTGATGAAAATATTTCACCAGCGTCCTCTGTGGCCACAGAAGAGCTGAATGTTGGAAACCAGGAAAAAGAAAGTTGGAACTTAAACATCCTGCCATCAGTTCTGCCCTATTTTGAAATCTTAGAGGGATACATCAACCGTGTAGTAGATGAACTCACCCACATCTTTGTTGATGAGATAGGCAGACTGCGAGAAGTTGCTGCGGCAGACACAGCACGTCTGGCATCTGGTACCAGGCCAGGGCCTTTGCCTGTCCCGGTTCAGCCTAACAAATCAAGATCTAAGAAACTGAACTCTCATGTTGTCAAATCTCACTCGGCTTTTGATTCCCATGACAAGTTTACAAACGCTGAACATCTGTCTAAACATTCCCCAGAGCCTACCACAAACCCCGAGGAGTCTTCCCTCTCATCAACAGATTACAATAGTTTACATTCTGTCAACACACATTCCCACCCTTGTAACACTGATACAGATGTCAAGGACAATAACTTAGGAGACAACTCCAAGATAATCTCCACACCTGTGCTCTCCCATAGCCTCAGTCATGTAAAGGATGTTACTAAACACAAAGGTAAATTCTTGTGTTCTTTAAGCCATGAACACCTGTGTACACGTAGTACCTACAAACTTAAAGACTGTTCTACGCACAGTGAATATGGGTCATGCTACGAAGTCAGTGCGCCCATTCATCAAGATGTATCTGAAGTGACGATTGCCTCTGAGAAATTATCCTCCTGCTTTGAAGAGAAAGACAACTCAGATGACAGTGTTCACAGTGAACATTTCTTTAACATTTGTGTATTAAGTTCAGAAATGGCCAGTGATTCAGCATTACTGTCCCCTGAGAGAATACAGTTTCAAACTGAAGGTCTGGTCGATGACCTAGTAAATGTGAAGTTGGTGCCAGGCGATGCAGGCAATGTCTTGCCTACACAGTCTGCAAGTTATACATCCAATTATCAGAAACCAGACAAGATTGGAAAGAACTCTCAATTTATAATGAAGCGGTCAGATTTTCTAGATTTAAAGAAAATTATGCTGGACAAGATGGCAAAGAGGTTTTAAAATTTTGTAAACCTAATATTGCAAACTTTTTAAAGATATATCAGTCTGGAATTACATTGCAGATATTTTAAACAAAATCCCATCCAAACATTGATAAAACAGCTTGCTCTCTTCAAAGTTGAAGAAACCTCAAAAGAAGCTCTGTCCTGATATCAACAAGATGTTTCATAAAGCCTTATATGAAAATTTTCCTCTACAATAACAGCATGACATAAACATATTACTCTTCAATAATTAAAATATCTATTAAAGATAACCCTTCTTTAAAAGCTCCAAAGTGCAGCCTGCATTTTTGATATTTTTAGGATTAAACACAACTTTATTGAACTTGCTGAATATAATGTGCAAATTCAGTGTTTGATATTTTTATTATGAAATTAAACATTTAAAATGTAGGCCTATAATAACTTGATAATAGCTCACCACCAAAGCCTGTCTTTAAATAGTTTTCCCAGGTTACTGAATGCTTTGTCTCAGCACTACAATATCACATTTACTTTATCAAAACTATTTTGACTTGAAACAAAGTGATAGTGTTGCTGTTTCACTTAATTTGTCACAAAAAACATTAATCGAAGTTTGGTTACATTCATTATTCCCTTTCTTTAAAAACGTGGTATAAAATGTACAGCAATTATTTATTTTAAAATATATAACTTTAATTTTGTGTATATATATATATATACACATATATATTTATATATTATAGGTATGTGTGCATGTATATATATATATATATATATATATATATATATATATATATATAATACTTCAATGCTCGATGTATATTTATTTAGCATTTATTATTACAACATATTCATAACTTGAAGCTACTGACAATAATTTATCATTCTTTCTTCACTTAAATCTGTTTTTTTTTTTAAATTGAAGCATTTAATAAAAAAATATGTGGCCTTAGTATAAAGATACATTCTTAAACTATTGTATTTGATGTCTTTAATTCAGATAAGTACATGCAATAAAATTGAACTGTACATCAAATATTGTCTCTGTTTCCTTTTATGAAGTTTAGTGTCTTGACATATTAGTCTATTGATTTTATAAATGGCCTACATTACAATTGCCAACATTTAAAAAAAGATGTTATTTCAGAAATTGTTCTACTTGTTATAAAGGAGGATATAAAGAGAACCCAAGAAATTAAACCTATGAATTAACAGCTCCTGTGCCACAGGGACACATTTTTGATTTGGTAAAAAGGCTTTAGCCCACAATCTAAAAAGGACGATAAATGTGGGCAGTAAAGGTATGATGAGACTGTTGGGATGGGTTGAAGGCAACAAATAATATTAACTATGTCTTCTTCCCATTTCATATTCAGTTTCTTCCAGGCGGAGCTTCCCCCCCCCCCCCCCTCCAAGAACAAAATGGAATTTATACTTATGTAGAAAATATATACTTTAAACTAAACAGTATCGTCCCCCCCCCCCCCCTTCGACGCGATCAGATGGATAAACTGCGAGAAAGTACTTAACTCTTACTAAGGAGAGCTATTTCCCGCCATATTGCAACAATAGGCATACACTAATATAGATGTCTAACTTACACTAGAGTCTAGACTAGATTAAGCCTAAATCACATAGACATCTAAATGACATAAATCTGTGTGATATAGATTCTAGATTAGATACCGATTCATATTCGAATCAGTCAATTCAAACACAAGTAATGGCACTTCAACCGAAGCAAGGACTCCAACTTGGTAGGCTCAACTTCAGTGTCAAACTCATACACTACACTCATGTCTCATATTATGATATTAATAAATTAAATCATTCAAGCTGAATCTTGAATCCGAGCCTCTCAGTGTCACCGTCTACAGTCTAGAGACTAGATCTAGATCTATCTCAGACTGAATCTCTCCGTCTCCAGGATTCTAAATTATAACAAGATAGAGATCTAGGTAATCTATCGTTTTGGGTACGTAAAATCGCCCGCGATTTGTAATGTGAAAAACAGGTGACTCCTTAAATTTTAATAATTATTTCACATTTTTAGGAAGATTTATGTTTTAAAAAATTCAAAAATGTTTCCTTGATTCATTTATGTACCTGTTTTCAAACAATTGAATTAAAACTTTTCTGTAATAAATGAAGACTAGCGATGTTTCCAACAGATGCAACCATGCTCATTTACTATAGCAGCCATCTTGTCTAAGTTTTATTTTTATAAGCTTTTAGCGCCAGATTCAGGGGGAAGCCACATTTTTACAAATGGCGGCTGTTTATATAGCAAATCCTGCTCACAAACACTGCTGTTAAAAGTTAATTTCTTGCCTATATCGATATATTTAGCCATTGATTTAGGTTTATTATTCATTTATCTATAATATTTGACACAAAAGTATGACAATATACTTCTATTAACCCTCTTAAGACGTAGCTTTTTTAGAGAGCCGGTGCTAAGAAGACGGAGCCTACTTTCAAGTTTTGCACTTGTATCACAAAAAAAATTTGAAAAAAATAAACTAATTATTTTACATGCATAAAAATATATATTATTTATTAGGAAATTGAATGAGCTAATATGATTTTTATAAATCTAATAAAAATCTCAACATATATATATGTGAGCTTTCTGATTTGCATAATTTATGCACGAAAAAAAAATTTGACTGCACTAAATTACAGTAAATTTGTATAAAAATACGTTTTTTCTCTCTGTAATGCTAATCTAAATAATACACAAACATCTATTCAATAATCTGAACTAATTTACTGATTATTATTTCTACATTAGAATTTCTAAGTATATTTTTAGTTTATTTTGATGACTGGACTGTTGGACATAAGAAAATTTACGATAGGACTCACGGCACTAAAAAAATTGATAAAAAACAAAAAAAAATGAGGCAAACTTTCAATGGAAGTCGCCATTGAAGTGCTAGATATGTACTATAACAGTTAGAAGCAATCTGATTGGCTGATATGATACTAGAAAGCCAATCGTGTGGCTTCTACTATCACGGCTGAGACCCGGCCGATAGATCGGCCGGTCGTCTTTTTGGCTATAAAACCGGCGGCCGATAGATCGGCCTGGGCGTCTCAAGAGGGTTAAAGCCTTGACAATGAGGTAACGTTTTCGTACATAAATAGCCGCGGGCGATTTTACGTACCCAAAACGATAGATTACCGAGATCTAGATCTATTCTTTTCTATACCAAACTAATACTATTAATTATTATTCTAGTTTCGAGTAGATTTACTAGATTAGATTATCGGGAGAATGTTTGTTTACAGTTTACACAGGTGTCTGATATATAGTAATTATAATTAATATGCATGGAATCTTCTTTAAAAAAGGGATGTTAATTTTTTTTTATGTTATAAAAAAAGGTAAAACTCCATTTTAGCGTATTTTATTCTCCGCTTGTCGTTTACCTACAGTTGAGCGTATTTTATTATACTAACTGAAACACACCAAAACATTAGGAAAACACGATTTATTCATCTGTATTGTATTTTTGTTTTAACAAATGAATAAAAACAACAAAGAGACTGAATGAAATGCTTTGTTTGTTGGTTACAAAAATAGAGATGCACACTTTGTACAAATAAGTGTTCAAATTTCAACTAAACAGAATAAAAGTATTAAAAGGCATAAGGGGTCGTCCATAAATTACGCCACACTCGTAGGGGGGGGGGGGGGGCCATAATTGTGTGACGGAGGGGAGGGAAAGGTAAAAATTGTCAAAAAAGCGTGACGTCATTTATGGATAACCCCTAATAATGCTGCCGAAAGTGGGGCGGGGGGTGGTGGGATTTGGTGAGGGATGGCTTGGAGTGTTAGAGAAAGTGTGACAACTCACGTTGCCATTTTGAAAAATAGTGTTAGACACTAAATTTCATACAATATTTCGCATTTTTAAGGCTATACTATAGTTTATAGGGCCTAATCAGTAATCATCCAAATAATTATTAAAAATTAACAGGCTGAGTACTAGTCAAGTATGCAATTTTTGTGTTTGTTTATAAAAGCAGAAATTGAGAAAGAAAAATGATTCTCAAAAAGTGCCATTTTGAGAACCAATCAATAGACCTGTTTTCTGAAATAGATAACATAATTAAGTCGGCCTAGATCTTGGTACAGTTTGCGAGTCACTCTAAAGTTTGTTAGCCTAATTTATATTTATGCAAAAATGTTTTCAATCATCTAAAATAAATCTTTCTGAAGAAAAAATTACAAGAAAGAATGTGTTTTGGTCGTTTTTATGTTCAGAGCAAAATTCATTCAAACTTTGTTTTTGACATATAATAACAGATTGAAACAGATCTTCAACTTCAAAGGGGTTTAAAAATTAAACCTGGAAATTTTGGGTTAACAAGCTTTCAAACCTAACCACTCATTCATTAACCATTTAGCTTATTAATGAATGTCACAATCTTTTCAATGTAATTTCCTGTGTTTTCCTGCAGTAAGAATTAATCCAAGTATTAGTCAGTTGTAATTAAAAAAGTATTTTGACAAGAAACATAAAGGGCCATGTGTAGCATGGATGGGACTGTTGGGGGTAGACTGGAAGGTTAATAGGTGGTGTTGAAGTGAATATGTGGTTGGGAAAGTGAAGGGGTGGTGATGGACTTGCACATGGGCAGGTAATTTTATTTGCTGTTCTGCAGATAAATAATTACGATTATTGACATAGGTAAATGAGCATGGCAAAAACATGACCGGATAATATACATTAAATAACTATTCCAGCTAGGATTTAGAAAGAAACAAAAAAAAAAGTATAGGCCTAGAGTTTCTTTCTTATATTATGTGACTATTTTTTTTTTTACTAAAATTCCTAACCCAATAGATCGGTAATCTAAAATTAAAACTGTTGCACACTTATATTTCAGAAAATGCACAAGAAGTTGGCTTTGTAACATTCTTCTCACACTTACCAGAGGTTTGTCTTGTTAAATTTTAAATTTTGTCAACCTTTTTTTAAAATTAGATTTGCTATACCCACATCTATCTATATATATAATTCTCTTCTGGGAGACGTTAGAAAACGAGCAGTCTCCTCTTTTCCTCTCTAGGCATATCGCAACAACCCCCACACCCACATGGTCTGGTGAGCTGTAGTTCACGCTAAATGTTAACATCGTAGAGCCGGGTTTAGTGACGGCTATTAGGGGCAGTATTTATACTTAGGGGAAGTAACTAAGTGGAGGCTGCTTTCATGTGGGGGGGGGGGGGAGGAGGGTTTTAGTGTTTAAAGCAAATATTTTCAGTGGCAGCATTGGTACTGTCGAATTCACAAATTATGAATTACTGAAAAGTAGAAAATAAAACAACTAAATAGCGGCAGATGATACGTCGCGGGTCGGCTCGTAATCATAATTAGGCCGAGCTGTTATTTTATTTTTAAATGATTTTTTTAATGTAGTGTTAACTAGAAAAACATTTATAATGGATAGGTTGATAGCTTCCGTAAGTCAGATTTATATATGTCATTGCTTCTAGTCTTTTTTTTTTTTTTTGAGTTATTCACATAGATTCTATATGTATGGATTGTTAAGCCTATTATTTTTTAAAAGTAATTATGTTTTCATCTCCAGAAAATTGGGACGACTTTAAGAGTATTTGACAGATCAGTGAGTATATATTGACACAACTTAAGAAAATTCTGTTTCATTTAATGTTCAACTGATTTGAATTCAGCCAAACAATTTTTAGTATTTAATTTTTTTGTAATGATTCATTATTTTTTAATCTATGTGTAAAGTTATATTATAGACTACTTTAAACACCATTTTTTTTCTTAAATTAATAAAAATAATTTTCTCTTTCTGAATAGGATTACTATACTGTACATGGAGAAGATGCTGTGTTTGTGGCCAAAGAAGTTTTCAAAACACCTGGAGTAATAAAAATGATTGGAGGTAAATCAGGAAAACTTAAGCACTATAGTGTTTGTAGCATTTCTTTCTTATTTCCACCAGTCAGTTAATTTTAATATTTTAATTTTCTGTTTAATATATTACAATGTTTAAACACACTGATCTGTTGTATATTCATGAACAAACATTATTGTGTCCTATAAAAGCATTCTTTTTAAAGAATCTGTAACCCATTATTTTCTTTCAGGTTCGAAGAAGCTTGAATCTGTTTCAATGAGCAAAATGAACTTTGAAGCTTTTGTAAAGGAATTGCTATTAGTTCGTCAATACAGGGTTGAAGTTTATTCAAATAAAGGCAGTTCAAAATCAAATGAATGGTCACTTGCTTTTAAAGTAAGTAAAAATGTTGAAATGTCTAAGTAGTTAAATATAAGCTTTATATTTACACTTGAGAAAAAGTATAACAATAATAATAGTTACATTTTATATTGTTATTTTTAAAACTCTTATTTCCATTTAAACCACATAACAATCTTATTTTTAAAACCTTATTTCCATTTAAACCATTAAACCAATAAGAAGTAGAAATCTTTTCATTTTATTTATGAATCAATAAGTTAAAAACAAAGGTATTTAGACTTACATTTTGTCAGTACAGTAAGTAATATTAGTATTTGACGAGAAAGCTGCTCAACATAATAATATGCATTCTATGGCTTAATTACAGTAATGTAGAGTTAGGTTAAAGACATATAGATTTCAAATTTATACTTGGTATCTGTTTTAAATGTTTTGAATCCTCCTTCATATGCTTAATTAAGAACGAAGAAGAAGTTTTAAATGTAAGAATTGGACTTTTTTCTATCAGGCTTCTCCCGGCAATCTTTCCCAGTTTGAGGATATTTTGTTCAGCAACTCAGACATGTCAATATCAGCAGGAGTTCTTGGTCTCAAAGTTGTCAGTGATGATGGACAAGTGGTAATTCTATTTTCATGGCACGACCTCTTAGAAATTGCCTGAAAACATCAGTAATTTTTACATTGATTTTGACAATTCTGTATTTAGGTTATTGGCGTTGGGTTTGTTGATCCTGTTTTAAGGACATTTACAGTTAGTGAATTTCCAGATAACAACCAGTTTTCAAATTTTGAGGTAATTTTATTTAGATAGTATATTCAGTGTAAATAATTCAATAGTGTTTAAACTTTGCAAATAAAATAGAACTAATATTTGCAAATCTTATGGTAGTTATATGTTAGTAAATAGTGGAAAAGATTCCATAATCTTTAGTCTCTGATATGAAATAACTTTAAAAAAATAGTTTACCTTTTGATCTGTTAAAGGCCCTTCTAGTCCAGCTAGGACCAAAAGAATGCTTAATACAAAGTGGTGAACTGCCAGGTGATACTGCTAAACTGAAACAGGTCTTGAATCGTAGTGGAGTTCTCCTTACAGAGATTAAGAAATGTTAGTTTAAATTTTTTTTCACATTATGGTTACTTGATAGTGAAATTTGATGACTGCAATATTTGTAACATTCATAGAGAAAATGGAATCTATTTTTGTCTTATTTAACAAAAACGGTATCTTATTTATTGTAATAAAATACCTTATTTCTCACTAGCTGAATTTAGCAATAAAGACATAGTACAGGACTTAAACAGACTATTAAAGGCTAAGAAAGGAGAAAAAATGAACAGTATCACATTAGGTAAGTTTTAAAAAGCTAACATATTATGAAATGGTCTTTTAAAAATGAAAAGCTTATTTAAGCTTCTTTTTTTTTCCAAACATATAAATGCACTTTGCTTTGTTCTTTTTCCAGAGGAAGTTGACAAAACCATTGCCATGTGTTCCCTTTCTGCTGTCATTCGATATTTAGAGGTAAGAAATCCTAGAAAGAGAAACTAGGGATTGATACAAATCTAAGACTTGCTAAATTTTTTAAAAACAAGCTTTTTTTTTTTTTGCTTAAAAATAGATTTTTTTTCACACTGTAAGAAATTTCATATCTATGTAGCTTTTATCAAATGAAGACAATTTTGGACAATTTCGTATCTCAACATTTGATTTGAACCTCTACATGAAATTAGATGCTGCTGCAGTGAAGGCCTTAAATCTGCTTCCTATTGCTAATGAAAGTGAGTGTGACAGTATAAATATTTGTGTAGAAAATTAAGTTTAATGTGTTCTTCAGAGTAAGGAATGTCCTTTTCTAAGTTAGCAAGTTTGACTGAAGCTGTACAACTGTAGGGTTTTAGTATCACAGTTGATTCATCATTATCTTTTATTACTTTCTCGTATAGAGAAAGTCTTGTAATCGTGCAAAAAAAAAAATCGAGATTTTTACAAATCTCGACGTTTTACACCTCACTGATACGGAAAAACATAATTTTGCAATCGTGTCTGTCTGTCTGTGTGTAAACACGATAACTTGAGTACTGTTACAGCTAGGTTGACGAAATTTCATATATAAGTATTTTATCAAAATCGTAGATCCTGATCAACTTTTGAGCGATTTCCGATAACCGGAAGTGGTACTTTTTCTACTTTGAATTTTTCAAAAGCCTATAACTTGAGTGCTATTTCAGATAGATAAATGAAATTTCACATGTAAGTAAAAGATCTAATTCTCTGCCTTCTGTCAAATTTTGAGTAATTTCCGTTGACCGGAAGTACTAATTTACACTATTTTCAATTTCTCAAAAAACGCATATAAATTTATAAAGTACTAATAATATTGCAATTCTTTTTTCTATGAGATTCTATTCTGTTTTTAAAAGTTTAAGTAATTAAAAATCATGTCTATATTTCAAGTTATATAAGAATATTCGAGAAAGTTTAGGGGAGATCACTCCCGGTTTATTTTTTAAAATTAACTATTATGCATTCAACAGAATTTTTTTGAGTCAATTATAACATCAATTCTTACATTATGAAACCCATATTATGAAAATGAACAAAAATTTCAGTTGTGACTTTTATCTGATTCACTACCCTTCCTCCTTCTGAAAGTCTTAATTATTATCCATTCTTAAGTTTTTTGTGAACTCTGTTTTATCTATTAATACAGTAAATATAACTTGGTCATAAATTCTATGTATAATTTTTAACTGTTATTTAATATGTATGCAGCAAATAAAAATCAAAGTCTGCTGGGACTGCTAAATAGATGCAGAACAGCACCAGGTCAAAGGTTACTTAGTCAGTGGGTCAAGCAGCCATTAATGGACTTACAAAAGATAGGTAAGATAACCTGCTGCTTAGCATTAAGATGTTTAAAAACCTAATTTCAGCTATATTTATTTTACATGATAAAATTTATGCCCTGCAACAAATACAGCTAATGTACAAAGGTCACAATATTACAAAAATAATTATTTCAGAGGAACGACTGAATATAGTGGAAGCCATGTTAAGTGACAGTGACTTGCGACAAACACTTCATGAAGATCAATTAAGAAAAGTCCCAGATTTTCAAAGGCTTGCTAAAAAGTTTCAGAGAAAAAAGGCATCACTTCAGGTATATATTTGAATCAAATATTCTTCTAAAAATACTTTCCAAATTATGAGTATTTTTAAAATTTGTATGTTAATATTTATTAAAAAAATTTTAGGATACAAAATTTATCTGCCCTATAACTTTTTATCAATGTTTGCAGGATTGTTACAGGGTATACCAAGCTCTGGAGAAGCTGCCGCATCTGTTGGAAACACTAGAGAAATATGATGGAGATCATAAAGTCTTGCTGACAGAGATTTTCTCTAATCCAATAAAGGTAAAAATACATAATTTTTATATTTTGAATACGCCATGAAAATCACATTTATTGTGAAGAATTTTTTCTTTCCGCTGAAAGCCAACAAATTTTGAGTTGAATGTGAAGAACCTATACTTATTTTTTAACAGGAGCTACTTATGGACTTTAGCAAATTTCAAGAAATGGTGGAAACAACTGTGGACTTGGAACAAGTACAAAATCATGAGTTTGTAATAAGGGCTGATTTTGATGACAATTTAGCAGGTTGGGATTTTTATACTAAGTATTAAACATGGTGGTAATAGATATGTAAAGATTATATTTAAAAAAATTAAATTTTATTTCAGAATTAAGAAAGAAAATTGATGAACTGGAGGAAAACATTAAAGATCAATTGAATAAGGTTGATAGATTTTGTTTAAAATATTTAATTTACAAGTTATTAAAATTAGAACCTAATTTTTAACTTAAAAATTATTCAATTAAAACTTATTTTCAGGTTGCCAGAGATTTGAACCTTGAGCCAAATAAAACTGTTAAACTTGAGAGTAGCAACCAGTTAGGATATTATTTTAGAGTTACAAGAAAGGTAAGAATAAATGTTGTTTTCTTTATCTTCATTAGTTATAAGTTCTCCTAGCTGATTTGAATTGTTTTTAATGTTTATATATTTTGGAAGATTGATTCTAAAAATAGACACAAAGAGGTTACATTGTATTATATTTGAAGTGTTGGTCATTTGTAGTTTGGTGAATATGAAATAATATTTAGATTTTGTTAATTATCAAAGGTGTATACTGTTTCCAGGAAGAAAAGGCACTTAGAAATAATAAAAAATACTACACCATTGATACCAAAAGTAATGGAGTTAGGTTTCACAACAGCGCAACGAAACAGTACAACAATGAATATCAAAGGACGAGAGAAGAATACAATGAGCAACAAAAAAGTGTTGTGGCTGAGGTGATTAACATTGCAGGTCAGACATTTTAAACACACCAATTTTTTAGGTTATTCAATAACCTATAATCATTTTACTGAAGTTTCTAAGCTAATATAGAAATAAAATGTTTCTAGCAACCCTAAGATTAGTGGTATTTTTCCTTGCCACATTGACCAGTGTTTGATTTTTTTTTTATCACACACCCATTTTTTTTTTAGGTTATTCAATAACCTATAATCATTTTACTGTAGTTTCTAAGCTAATATAGAAATAAAATGTTTCTAGCATTCCCTAAGATTAATGGTATTTTCCCTTGCCACATTGACCATTGTTTGATATTTCCTTTGATCACAGCTGGCTATGTGGAACCAATGTGCCTGTTGAGTGACATCCTGGCACAGCTTGATGTTCTTGTATCTTTTGCTATTGTTTCTGCATCAGCCCCTATTCCCTATGTTAGACCGAAGCTGCATCCCAAAGGTAAGAATATTATTTTATTCTTTTTAGTTTGTTCATACAGAGAGTACTAAGAAATTTGACTTTGGTAAAGTGTTTAATTTTTTTAAAAAGATTTTAGCATGTTTTGTTTGCAGCTTTTGCTAAACTGGTATGAATAAATTAAAACTAATTTAAGAACTTCCTCAACCATCTGTGTTTGATATTATTACATAATTTTATAATTAGTCGCATTTCAAATTTTCATAATGATGTTATTAAATATTTTTAATATTAGGCCATGGTATACTGAAGTTGCATGAAGTTCGACACCCTTGTTTAGAAATGCAAGATGAAGTATCCTACATTCCCAATGATGCCATATTTGATAAAGGTTTGTTTGATTTACTAATCTACAATTCAAAAATCTTTGTCATGAAAATTTCACCTTCAGTAACTTAATTTTACCATAGCTGGTGGTATGTGTTCATATCTTATATGCTGATTCAGGTCAGCTTAAGCAATCAAATCCACTTGAAATGATGTGTCGTGCATGTTATTTATGAAAGTATAGTGTTATAATGCCCAGTGCAAAATTGCAAGCTGTATCTAATCATTGTTTATGTCTATTGGATTTAACTTGATTATTTATGTATCAAATATCTACAAATCACTTTATTTATTTCCTGAAATTATTTCACAGAAAAACAGATGTTTCACATTATCACTGGTCCAAATATGGGAGGCAAATCAACATACATTAGATCTGTAAGTTCCAGATTTGATTTCTAAGAACAGCTTTGAGTCTGTTTTTTTTTTTAAATTAACTAATTTGTTATAAAAAATTTTTGTCAACTTAGGTTGGTGTGTGCGCAGTGATGGCTCAGCTTGGCTGTTATGTCCCCTGTCAGCAAGCTGAATTATCTGTCCTTGATTGTGTGCTGGCTCGTGTTGGAGCTGGAGATATTCAGCTAAAAGGCGTGTCCACTTTTATGGCTGAAATGTTAGAGACTGCAGCAATAATTAGGGTTGGTGTACTTTCAGCAAAAAAATTATTTATTTAATTGTTATGTTTTGTATCATATATGTAATTATATGTAATTATCATTAGTTATAGGTTTTTATTTAACTGTCTAAACTTGGGTAACATTGTTTTTAGGCAGCAACTGAAGATTCGCTGATTATCATTGATGAGCTTGGAAGAGGAACATCCACTTATGATGGATTTGGTTTAGCTTGGGCAATCTCAGAGTAAAGGGACTTTTTAATATAAAAATATATACATATATACACATTATTACCTTGTAATCTTGCAAAGCAAGATACCAGTTTATTGGTTTTTGTGTTTTCTCACACTGTACTCTCCCTCCCCTCCTGTGTTTATTTTCACCACCCTGGTTTGGTTGTATGTGACTAGCAGTTTCAAATGAGAGGGTGGGCATTTGCCACTGAGAGCAATTGAAAGGAAATTAATTGGGGGGGGGGGGGGGGGTCCTAAACCCATTTTTCTGTGTTCATTTGAAAATGATGCTCATGATTGTTCTTTAGTCACATCCATAAATTATATTTTAGACACTTGAGATGACTAACTCACAGCATTTTTTATGTATTCAGACACATAGCTACAAAGATCAGATGTTTTTGCTTATTTGCCACACATTTCCATGAACTGACTGCCCTGGCGGATGAAGTTCCCACAGTAAACAACCTTCATGTCACTGCGCTAACTACCAATGACACGCTGACTTTCCTGTACAGGGTCAAGCCTGGTAACCACTTTTTCACACTTTAAATCTCCTATTTATTTCATTAGTATCATGCTTTGGAATCTCTGTTTATTCTTTTACAGGCATCTGTGATCAAAGTTTTGGTATACATGTTGCTGAACTTGCACATTTTCCTAAAGATGTTATTGAAGTAGGTTTTTTTATTTCAATTGTTTTCAACTCATTGCTATTTGCTATTAATCATTAAATAAAATGGTAATATTTTGTTTTTTTATCACTGGATAATAGTAAATACCTTTTTCATTGTGAAACTTATTTTAAATTAAAGAGCAACCAAAACATGATTATTTTACCAAGTTACCTGAATTTTTTTTTTTTATAAAGGAAGCCAAAATAAAAGCTAGTGAGCTGGAGGATTTCCAGAATATCAATCTTGAAGGGACAGGGCTGGAAGGAGATGATGAACCAGCAGTTAAAAGAAGAAAATTGGCTAAAGAGGTACCTGCCTTACAATACTATAACCCCATTGTATCAGCATGTTTGTCCTCTATTTGTTGCAAGGAACCTGTAAATAGTAAGAGATTAGTGGCATTTATTAGGCCAGGTTTATGCACTGGTTAAAGCTAGAAGTGCCATATACATGATATACAAGGCCAAACTATGTGCTGGCTAGGGTGGACCTACATTTCCAAGAGGGGGTTAGTAGGACACTGTGGTTAAAGTCTATATTTTCTATATGAAGAGTTGATTTTCAAAACGCGATAAGCGCCATTTTTGAAAAAAATGAGATAACGTGCCCATAGTGTAAAGCTACTCAGTTACTATTAGGAAAACTTAATTTTAATCTTCAAGGCGCAAAATTTTCATTTTATTTCTATTTTGTAGCTTAACAAAAGCTGGATATACCTCATTTTGCAACGAAACGCAAATTTTGGGACCAAAAAAAAAAGCATCTTTTTATGCAGGTACATTTCAAAAACCATTCTAGTCCTATTTATATGAGGGTTATGAACCTAAAAACAAGCTGTACTCTTCAAATTAAAGTCTCTCGTTAGAGACTTGCATCATTTTTGAAAAATGTTCAAATAACTGAAATTACTCACTAAAAACACTTTAAAGTAACAGAAAAAACATGGTACAATTGTAGTGAGATGATAACACTGGGACTATAAGTGGGTCTTAATAAAATAATAAACTAAAATATTGCACATCAGATGTATTATTAGAAAAAAAAATGGATATACAGCGTTTTGTTAGCTTAACAAAAGCTGGATATACCTCATTTTGCAACGAAACGCAAATTTTGGGACCAAAAAAAAGCATCTTTTTATGCAGGTACATTTCAAAAACCATTCTAGTCCTATGTATATGAGGGTTATGAACCTAAATTGACAAACAGTTTTAGCATATTGTACAATGGCTTTGTGTAGGAGAAAAGTGCGATTTTCTCGAAACCCAAATTTTGGATATATTGCATTTTGAAAATCAACTCTTCATATTAAGTATATTTTTTAATTTCGTTTGGGCCTGAAGATCAGGATCTGTGTTAACTGAGTTACTAAGTTTTTCAAATAAATGAAAGAATAGTTCGTTAAAACTTGTGTGAAATTTGAATGGTGTAACCCTATTCATGAGGTAGAAATAATATCAAAAATATTTTTGTTTTGTCTATAGGAAGGTTTTCAGATAATGCAAGATTTTTTAGCTAAAGTCAAAAGAAGTGCAGTTAAAGACCCATGTCTCAGGAAGAAGCTATGTCAGCCATTAATAAGTTAAAAGCAGAAGTGGATCAACACAATAATCCATACATTAAAGATCTCTTAGCCAGGAAACAAAAAAAAAAAATCTCAATAGGGAGGGATGTGTTTGATCTTGTTGAAGTTGCTAATGTTTGTACTTAGATTAAAAGGTTTGAATTTAGGCCGATTCTAGTCGGAATAAGATACGCATGCGATACGCATGCGCAATGGAGAGAAACTACGACTTGCCTTAGCGGCGATGTTTTCGATGGTACTGCGCATGCGTGTGTTTACAACCGCAGAACCCTAATACCAAACCCTAATCCTATCCTTAACCCTATCCCTAATCCTAACCCTAGCCCTAATCCTAACCCTAGCCCTAATCCTATCCCTAACCCTAATCCTAATCCTACCCCTAACCCTCATTCTAAGCCCTAAACCCTAGCCATAGGTCACTGCGCTATGCGCAGAACTATCTTTTGCCGAAAAATCTTATTCCGAGTAGACACTTCGTTGAATTTTATGCAAACAGACATTCAATTCAAACTTATAAATATTTTTTATACTGCTACCACCTGTTACTTGTAAATTTTAGAAATTAAATATTTGTTAACAAAGCTATTGGATTTCTATTTCTTTAAAATAGTAAACTTGTAAAAACTGGCAAATCTAATAGAGAAAATACCACAAATATTTCAATTTTTAGAATGAACAGTTTAACCACATCTGTTAATTGTGGGGTTTTTAAGTTTTATTCACATTAGAAAAGCATTGCACAACCTTAGAAGTGGGGGGGGGGTACAACGACACAGCTTAACACCTAGATATCTATTGATGAACTGGCTATATTTGGTACCCCAGTTTTTCAAAAAAATGCAAAACTTGTTAAACTCGTTTTCCTAGAACAAAGGTGATTTCCAGGCTAACGAGCCTTTTGTTAAACTTGATCATAACCCATGTGAAACTTTTCAACAGCAGAACAAAGCTAGTGGGCAAGGCATTTGCCAATCTTAGAAGTCTGGAGGTCGTCAAACATCTAAAAAATAAACTAACATAAAAACTCCAACATTAAACTTTAATAATTCCTGCTCTACAGACTAAAAATATGGAGAACAACAGAGTCAACAATAAAAAGAATTCAGACTTTAGTTAATAGTGCCTAAGGAGTACATTAAAAATTAAATGGCAGGACAAGTAGTAAACACAACACTATGGTAGATGTGTGGACAGGAAACTGAATTTTTAGTGTTGGATGGGATTCGCTCTAACAATGAAGTATATGTGTTTACTCCGATTTACGACTGCTTTTCTTTTAGGATTTACTTCCATTGCCTTTGGTCCACCAAGAATAAACTACAAGGCAGCAGGTTGTTTGATTTTGGAGTTAATTTGAAGAGTTTGCTGTCCCCAGATGTTGAGCCTCATCTGCTCGAAGAGTTTGAACTCTATAGACTTCGGTTTAGCAATCATGGGCTTTACCGACTTGACTGGACAGGAAACCATAGAAAGGCAAATCATGGAGAGAAAATGGCGTTGGATTGGACGCTAGGTAGGACACTTGCAATAGAGCCAGACGGGCCCAGGAAGACCATGGCTTGGGGATGTAGTGTGCTGGGGGAGGCTAAAGTGATAGGCAAGGAATTGGAAACAGCTGAAAAGAGTGACAGGAGAGCGTGGGGAGCAGAGTTTCTTCCAGGAAATCTTTTCGGGGGGGGGGGGGGGGGGGGGGTGGGATGGTACCCCCCCCCCCCCCCCCCCCCCAAATTTTTTTTGACCGCCCTCCCCCCCCCCCGAACGAAATGAAATTTATATAGAAAATATATACTTTTAACAGTGTCCGCCCCCCCCCCCCCCCCGGAGAAAAAAGTCTGGAAGAAACACTGGGTGGGGAGTGTTAGATGATGGAGGCTCCATGCTCAGCAAGGAAGGAAAAAATTATGTGAAATTTTTAACTTATCCACAGAGAGGTTGCTGATTAGCCTAGGGCATAAAGTATTTTTTATAAAATTATTTATTTCAAACCATTGCCTTCGATTACTGTTACATTTCCTATTTGTACTGACCAATTAGCTAGTCAGTTTCAGAAACTTAGCTTATTTCATGTACACCACAAATAGATTTCAGCATAGAACAGCTCATCTCATGAACACTAGGTCAGGTAAGCACTGAGCTGCAGTAGCGTAGCGAGGGGGGGGGGGACATATGTCCCCGGGCGCCGACCTTAGGGGGCGCCAAAATGGGTTGGAAAAATAAATTGAAAGGTTGAGGGGGGTGCAAATCGAAAGTTTGAAGGGGGGAGGTGCAAATCGAAAAGTTTGTCCCCGGGGCGCCGGGAAGGGTCGCTACGCCTCTGCTGAGCTGCTGACATAGTTTCACATGACCTAGTGATGTCACTGCTACAAACGACTAGTCTTCTAAACAGCCTGGAAAACACTTGGTAGAATATCTGACCATCCCTGCACAGACAACACGGGACTACAAGTTAGCATCTACTAAGCCAGTTTGAAAGTTAACTTGGACAGAACACAAGTACACACATTACAGGAATTGGTTTTGTGCAGTGACAGTCATCGCTTTCAATCTACTGTACACAACCAGGTCACAAATCCTCTTGAGCCCATTTCAACAATGTGGAGCCTTTCTTAAAAGAAAAATGTGACATTTTGACATGTGTCATCTGACACCAGTATGGTGTCACGTGTTCTACCTTATCAATTGAAAAGAGTTAATCTTATGCCTATTATATCACCTGTGTGAATGTATATATTTCATTGTTTAGTGTTATGCATCTTGATATACTATAAGTTTGCCTTCATATATCTTTTGGTTCCATGAGGGACATAAAAGACAGGACAGCACTTCGCCCCACCAGTGTTTTTTTTCAGACTTTTTTCTCCGGGGGGGGGGGGGGCACTTGAAATCTTCAGGGGGGCGGTAAAACTTTCTTCGGGGAAGGGGCGGACACTGTTAAAAGTATATATTTTCTATATAAATTATATAATATTTCATTTCGTTCGGGGGGGGGGGGGCGGTAAAAAATTTTCGGGGGGACTAA